GATTGACCATGGATGATGGGATTTGCAGTACTTTCAATCACTTCAGCTCCCACAGACCACTGCGACCCCCCAGCAATAATGGATCTGGACCAAATTTGGCACACAGATTCCCTTGACCAGCAGAACATAGTGGAGGGGGGTGGGGTGGGTGGGGAGAATGACCCACGAGTCTGGGAATTGTAGTTCACCTATATCTTTATGCATTTTCTAATGGGAGCATTCATAGAAAACAAAAGGAAATAGTGGCTTTTTTCTATTAAACAGCATTACACATTACCAAACAGAGATTACTAAACTTCCCAAAACAAACCCTAACACTTTTTCAAATAATTCAGGCACTGCTTGGTCCCCAAGCTAGTATATATAATAAAAGTCAGTGTCTGTATGTGTGTATGTATCTATGTGGCAGCTTTCTGATTGGCTCCCACTTCCACAGGCCACTGCAGCTTCCACAAATGATGGACTTGGACCAAACTTGGCACACATAACCCATTTTACATCCTGGTGTGGTTTAGGCAAGGAATGATGGGATTTGCAGAACTTTCCATCACTTCTGCTTCCCCAAACCACTGCGACCTCCATCAACAATGGATCAGGACCAAACTTGGCACACAGATGCCCCATGACCCACTTTACATCCTGGTGAAGTTTGAGGGAGTATGGGCCATGAATGATGGGATTTGCAGTACCTTCATTCACTTCCTGAGACTACTGCAACCCCCACAACATTACACATTACCAAACTTCACAAAACTAACAAATAACAATGACATCTAATCACCGCTCAACAAAAGTTTACTCTAGGCACTGTCAGGCCATTATATGCTAATCAAGGTGGTCAGTTGAAACATTCACACCTAGCTCTAGCAGACAAGAGTCCTTTGTCCCACCCTGGTCATTCCACAGATATATAAACCCTTTTTCCTAGTTCCAACAGACCTCACTACCTCTGAGGATGCTTGCCATAGATGCAGGCGAAACCTACAACAACCCAGTGATTCTGGCCATGAAAGACAATGTTCCTAATGCCACGACCCCTTAATACAGTTCTTCATGTTGTGTTGACCCCCAACCATAAAACTATTTTCGTTGCTACTTCATAACTGTAATTTTGCTACTGTTATGAATTGTAATGTAAATATCTGATATGCAGGATGTATTTTCATTCACTGGACCAAATTTGGCACAAATACCCAATACGCCCAAATTTGAAAACTGGTGAGGTTGGGAGGGAGTTGAATTTGTCATGTGGGAGATGTAGTTGCTGGGAGTTGTAGTTCACCTATATCCAGAGAGCACTGTGGACTCAAACAATGATAGATCTGGACCAAACTTGGCACAAATACTCAGTATGCCCAAATGTGAACACTGGTGGAGTTTGGTGAAAAGAGACTTGACATTAGGAGTTGTAGTTGCTGGGATTTATAGTTCACCTACATTAAAGAGCATTTCGAACTACACTAACAATGGACTTGAACCAAACTTGGCACACAAAACTCCCATGACCAACAGAAAATACTGGAAGGGTTTGGTGGGCATTGACCTTGGGTTTTAGAGTTGTAGTTCGCCTACATCCAGAGAGCACTGTGGACTCAAACAATGATGGATCTGGATCAAACTTGGCACGAATATTCAATATACCCAAATGTGAACACTGGTAAAGTTTGGGGAAAATAGACCTTGACATTTGTGAGTTGTAGTTGCTGGGATTTATAGTTTACCTACACACAAAGAGCAATTTAATTGGACCAAAATTACCACACAGAACCCCCATGACCAACAGAAAATACTATGTTTTCTGATGGTCTTTGGCGACCCTTCTGACACCCCCTCGCGACTCCCATTGGGGTCCCGACCACCTGAGAACCACTGCTCTAGACCATGGCCATATAGCTCGAAAAAAACCTACAACAACCCACTGATTCTGGCCATGAAAGCCTTCAACAACACATTTAGCAATGCCTTTTTCATATAACATGGGCACCACTGGGTCCCCAAGCTAGTAATATAATAAAATTGATGAAAAGGACCCAAGATTTTGGAGAGTGAGTCTGTAGTCTGATAAATGCACATTTCAGACAAAGTGTGCCATTCTGTACTCAGAGGTAAGTTCATTGAGACTCACTTTCAGGAAAACCAGGTACAATAAGTTGTCCAAAGTCTCCTTGAACTCAATCAGGTTTACACAGTAAATGCAAGGGAGCATGGGTATTCCTTGTAGTGCTTGCAACAGCTGACCTTAGTTTTCCTTTGTCTCCACCAGACCCTGCCTTTGCTAGTCTTTAGCTGCCAGGCAGAAGTGGTTCTTTCGCATGAATATCTACGGATGTCGGATTAATCTGAAGTGTGCTTTGGTAGTCATACCTTGTAATGTGGACTCAGGTTGCATGTGCTCCGGGGCGTCCCTGTCAACATTGCTTGGGTTTGATGATGCTTAGCTGCCTTTGTGGAGTGAGGACGGACTGGGAATATCGCACACGGATAAATATGGGTGCTCCCTTGCGGATAAAGCACCCTGAACACAGTAACACAGAGTAAAGCTCTGCAGCATGAGGAAATATTCTTGACACCCGCTGGGTAATTCTGGTGCAATGAGGACGAGGTACTTTGCACCATTACTTGGGATTGGAGGCACAGCGCCAGGCCCAGAAATTGCGTGTATGTGTGTGGATCAGATGAGGGTCTCATAAACAATAAAGATTCCTGAAGTGTTTTAAAAACTGGCTCGTTTGGCTTGGCGTGAACGCTGTCTGTCTGCAGCTTGTTGCAGGCACAACAAGTAACATCCAGACTGGGCTTCAATTGGGCCTCAAAGGGACACTTTGGGTTGTCCTTTGCAGAGGAAATCCTTTTGAAATCAGAAAATCAAGAGAGCCAGGTTGAACCTTAAGAAGAAGAAAAGGAGAGAGGGGGAAAGAGGAGGAGGAAGAAGAGGAAGAGAAGGAGATGAAGAAGAGGAGGAAGAGGAGGAGAGAAGGAGGATAAGAAGGAAAGAGAAGAAGAAAGAGGAAGAGGAGGAAGAGAAAAGAGGAAGAGGAGGAGGAGGAGAAGAGGAAGAGGAGGAATGAGAAACGAGGAATAAGAAGGGGGAGGAGGAAGAAGAGAAGGAAGCAGGAGGAGATAAAGAAGAGAATGGGAAGGAAGAGAAAAAGAAAAAGAGTATGAAAACGAAGAGGAGGAGGAAAGCAAATGAGACAAAGAAGAGAATGGGGAAGAAGAGAAAAAGAAAGAGTATGGAGACGAAGAGGAGGAGGAGGAAAACGAAGGAGACAAAGAAGAGAATAGGGAGGAAGAGAAAAAGAGGAAGAGGAAGAAGAGGAGGAGTAGGAGGAAGAAGAGGAGGAATGAGGAGGAAATAAAGAAGAGAATGGTGAGGAAGAGAGAAATAGGAAGAGGAAGAAGAAGAGGAGGGAAGAAAAGGAGGAAGCAGGAGGAAATAAAGAAGAGAATGGGAAGGAAGAAAAAAGAGGAAGAAGAGGAGGAAGAAGAGGAGGAATGAGGAGGAGATAAGAGAATGGGAGGAAGAAAAAAGGGGAAGAAGAGGAGGAAGAAGAGGAGGAATGAGGAGGAGATACAGAAGAGAATGGGGAGGAAGAGAAAAAGAGGAAGAGGAGGAGGAAAGAGAAGGAGACAAAGAAGAGAATGGGGAAGAAGAGAAAATGAAGAAGAGGAAGAAGAGGAGTAGGAGGAAGAAGAGGAGGAATGAGGAGGAGATAAAGAAGAGAATGGGGAGGAAGAGGAAGAAGAGGAGGAGGAAGAGAAAACCAGGATTGTGGCGCAGCTGGCTGAGTGTCAGCTGCATTAAGATCACTCTGACCAAAAGGTCATGAGTTCGAAGCCAGCCCGGGCTGGAGTGGGTGTCCAGCCATTGTGTAGCCCGTTGTCGACCTTTGCAACCCAAAAGACAGTTGCATCTGTCAAGTAGGAAAATAAGGTACCACCTTGTGTGGGAGGCTAAATTTAACTAATTTATGAGGCCATAAAGAAAGAAGACTCCGGGGAATGTGGAATGCGGAAGAACTTCATCGGTGTCGTTGATGGACGATGAAAAGCAGCAGCTCCCCTGGCGGCCAGAAAAAAAAAAAGTTAAATAGCCTTTGTCTGTTAAATGTTGTTTGTCAAACTGGCATTGAATGTTTGCCATATATGTGTTTACTGTAATCCGCCCTGAGTCCCCTGCGGGGTGAGAAGGGCGGAATATAAGAACTGTAAATAAATAAATAAATAAATAAATAAATAAATAAAAAAGAAGGAGAGGAAGAAGAGGATGAGGAAGGAGGAGGAGATAAAGAAGAGACTGGGGTGGAAGAGAAAAAGAGGAAGAAGAAGAAGAAGAAGAAGAAGAAGAAGAAGAAGAAGAGGAGGAACCTCAAATCCCATAGCTGAACCCCTGCTCTATAAATGACAATGTAGGTGGGTGCATAGCGATTAGAGCAGCATTCTTCCAACCCAGCATCCTTCATTGTGTACAACTTCCATCAACCTTCACCAACTGTAGCAGATGGAGATCATGGGAGATGTTGTCCAGTACATTTGGATGGAGGCTAAATTGGAGGAAACTGAGTGAAACCACATTCAGATCCTCTCCTGGCTATGAAACTCACCTCAGTCTATCAGGCTAACCTACTTGGCAGGGCTGACATGAAGATTAAATAAATAGAGAAGCAGAGGAGAACAGTGATTTGAAAAAGAGGAAGATGCATTTCATATATTTTATATAAGCGGCTTTGAGCTCTGTAGTGCAAAGGCAGGATGTGCTGTGATTTAATGGCCAGTCATTTATCGATTGTATATTATTAAGACAGACCCTGGACAAAGAATTACACCTTAGCCAATAAATCTGATTATTCTCCCCTCCCGGAGCATGGTGCTGAAAGGACAGCTCCCATCCAGCCCTCATCCTTTGACATTGCTTTCCCCAAAGGAAAGGAGGGAATGCCTCCCTTCCAGCCCTGTTACTTCCCTCCAAATGCTGTTCTTTCCAAAGCAAAGGCACTTACTCTGAGTCCACAAAGTGGGGAAGTTCCTCCAGAGCGATGCATCTATCCCTGTGAAGGATAATTTCCAAAGGAGGGTTCCTTCAACCTCTGCGGTTCTTCTCCTTCGCTGCTCCGAACCCGCTCTCTCTCCTGTCCTGACAATGCACATTGCACAACCCACAACTCCCCCTCCTGCCAGGATTATGCCAAGTCCTGCTCCAAGCCCCAATGCATCTCCCATGATCTGTGAGCTCTTTCCTCCCAACCCCATCCTTCCAAAACTCAACCCCACTCTCAGCTCACTTTCCAAAGCCCATTTTCTTACCCCGTTTCGGGCACTGCGTCCTCCCTTGCGCTCTTCTCCATGCTGCGAAGCTCTTGTGCAGAGAGAGACTTCTGCATCCCTGGGCAGATGTCGGAAGCATCCGTGCAATCTCTTGAGCCACACAAACTTTACTCCAAGCGACAAGGCATGTGCTACCTTTCCCCTTCCTGATGTGCAGGAACACAACCCTGTCCATTCATATACTTCTCCGATTATTCAGAAACACACACCTCTCTCCCTATGCTTTCTCTTTCACACACAGTGAGCACATACGATGCACTTTTCCCTCTGCTAAACTGTCTTTAGTGCCTAAAAGAAGAACCACATCTTTTCCTACCCAAAGCTATGCTGCACAACAACTCCATCCTCTTCTCTCAGCATCGGCTTTGGCTTCTCCTTCCCTCAGTGCTTCTTCTATTATTATTTTTTTTGTCCAGCCTTCAGTGTGTTTGGCAGCCATGGATACCGAAGAAAGAGTTGTCAATGATATCAAATGGGGCATCTTTGCTATAGAGTGCTGTGTGCTGCTCATCTCTGGAGAAGCTCAGCTGTGTATTTATTTGACTTATAGTCTGCTTTTCTTCCATAGCTGCTTACTTTGGATGACTAAAGCAAGAGAACTAAAAGATTCTGAATATTTGAGGCAAGTGTGAATGTTGCAATAGGTCACCTTGATTTGCACTTAATGGCCTTGCTGCTTCAAAGCCTGGCTGATTGCTGCCTGGGTGAATCCTTTGTTTGGAGGTGTAATCACTGGGTTGTTGTAGGTTTTTTCGAGCTATATGGCCATGTTCTAGAGGCATTATCTCCTGATGTTTCACCTGCATCTATGGCAAGCATCCTCAGAGGTTGTGAGGTCTGGTGGAACTAGAAAAATGGGTTTATATATCTGTAGAATGACCAGTGTGGGACAAAGGTCTCTTATCTGCTGGAGCTAGGTGTGAATGGGTTGTTGTAGGTTTTTTTCGGCCTATATGGCCATGTTCTAGAGGCATTCTCTCCTGACGTTTCGCCTGCATCTATGGCAAGCATCCTCAGAGGTTGTGAGGTCTGTTGGAACGAGGAAAAAGGGTTTATATATCTGTGGAATGACCAGGGTGGGACAAAGGACTCTTGTCTGCTGGAGCTAGGTGTGAATGTTTCAACTGACCACCTTGATTAGCATATAATGGCCTGACAGTGCCTGGAGCAAACTTTTGTTGAGAGGTGATTAGATGTCCTTGTTTGTTTCCTCTCTGTTGTTGTGCTGTTGCAATTTTAGAGTTTTTTTTAATACTGGTAGCCAGATTTTGTTCATTTTCATGGTTTCCTCCTTTCTGTTGAAATTGTCCACATGCTTGTGGATTTCAATGGCTTCTCTGTGTAGTCTGACATGGTGGTTGTGAGAGTGGTCCAGCATTTCTGTGTTCTCAAATAAAATGCTGTGTCCAGGTTGGTTCTAATCACCTCTCAACAAAGGTTTGCTCTAGGCACTGCCAGGCCATCAAATGCTAATCAAGGTGGTCAGTTGAGACATTCACACCTAGCTCCAGCAGACAAGAGTTCTTTGTCTCACCCTGGTCATTCCACAGATATATAAACCCCTTTTTCCTAGTTCCAACAGACCTCATTACCTCTGAGGATGCTTGCCATAGATGCAGGCGAAACGTCAGGAGAGAATGCCTCTAGAACATGGCCATATAGCCTGAAAAAACCTACAACAACCCAATCTCTGCTATGTATTTATTTGACTTATAGTCTGCTTTTCTTCCATAGCTGCTTACTTTGGATGACTAAAGCAAGAGAACTAAAAGAATCTGAATATTTGAGGCAAGTGTGAATGTTGCAATTGGCCACCTTGATTTGCATTTAATGGCTTTGCTGCTTCAAAGCCTGGCTGATTGCTGCCTGGGGGAATCCTTTGTTTGGAGGTATTAGAAGCAATCAGCCAGGCTTTGAAGCTTTGAAGCAGCAAGGCCATTAAATGCTAATCAAGGTGGCCAATTGCAACATTCACACTGGCTTGGACAATGGGGGCCCTCTAAGTAAGTAAGTAAAGTAAGCAAGGAGAGATGAAGTAAAGTAAGTAAGCAGAGCACCTGATGAACCAACCTGGACACAGCATATTATTTGAGAACACAGAAATGCTGGACCACTCTCACAACCACCATGTCAGCTACACAGAGAAGGCATTGAAATCCACAAGAAGCACGTGGACAATTTCAACAGAAAGAATGAAACAATGGAAATGAACAAAATCTAGCTACCAGTATTTAAAAATTCTAACATCAGGACAGTAAATAAAGAGCAACCATCATTCTCCAGACCCTTGAGCATTTTAGTCGCCCTCCTCTGGACACATTCCAGCTTGTCAATATCTCTCTTCAATTGTGGTGCCCAGAATTGGACACAATATTCCAGGTGTGGTCTAACCAAGGCAGAATAGAGCATGGGGAGCACAACTTCCCTGGATCTAGACACTATGCTCCTATTGATGCAGGCCAAAATCCCATTGGCTTTTTTTTGCTGCTGCATCACATTGTTGGCTCATGTTTAACTTGTTGTCCATGAAGACTCCAAGATCTTTTTCACACATACTGCTCTCGAGCCAGGCATCGTCCCCCATTCTGTATGTTTGCATTTCATTTTTTCTGCCTAAGTGGAGTATCTTGCATTTGTCACTGTTGAACTTCATTTTGTTAGTTTTGGCCAATTATCTCTCTAATCTGTGAAGATCATTTTGAATTCTGCTCCTGTCTTCTGGATTATTGGCTATCGCTCCCAATTTGCTGTTGTTTGCAAACTTGACGATCATGCCTTCTAACCCTTCATCTAAGTCATTAATAAAGTTTTTGAACAGGACTGGGCCCATTAAATAATAATAATAATAATAATAATAATAATAGATTTTTATGACACCCCAAATCAGCTTATTCTGCTTAATAGTAGGGCAGGCCCTTCCCCAGCTGGTTTGCATCCTATCAGCTCGATCCCTTTTCAGCTTGATCCCTGCCTATTACAGGGAAAACCAGCTGATCCCTAACCCATCTAAAATACAGACATGTGCCTTTCACCTTAAGAACAGACAAGTATCCCGAACTCTGAGGGTTACCTGGGAAGGAATCCCACTGGAGCATTGCAGCGCACCCAAATACCTGGGAGTCACTCTGGACCGTGCTCTGACCTACAAGAAGCACTGCCTGAACATCAAGCAAAAGGTGGGTGCTAGAAACAATATCATACGAAAGCTGACTGGCACAACCTGGGGATCACAACCAGACACAGTGAAGACATCTGCCCTTGCGCTATGCTACTCTGCTGCTGAGTATGCATACCCGGTGTGGAACACATCTCACCACGCTATAACAGTGGATGTGGCTCTTAATGAGACATGCCGCATTATCATGGGGTGTCTGCACCCTACACCACTGGAGAAATTACACTGCTTAGCCGGTATTGCACCACCTGACATGCGCCGGGAAGTAGCAGCCAATAGTGAAAGGACCAAGGCAGAGACATCTCCAGCTCATCCCCTGTTTGGGTATCAGCCAGCACGTCAACGACTTAAATCAAGACATAGTTTTCTAAGATCTAGAGACACTCGCTGGAACACCTCAGCAAGCGAGAGTCCAAAAGTGGCAGGCTCAAACCCAGAACCTCAACCAATGGCTGATACCAAATGAGAGACTCCCCTGGGCACACAGAAAACTGGGCGACTTGGAAGACGCTGAACAGACTGTGTTCTGGCATCACGAGATGCAGAGCCAACCTTAGGAAATGGGGCCACAAAGTGGAATCCATGACATGCGAGTGTGGAGAAGAGCAAACCACTGACCACCTGCTGCAATGCAACCTGAGCCCTGCCACATGCACAATGGAGGACCTTCTTGCGGCAACACCAGAGGCACTCCAAGTGGCCAGATACTGGTCAAAGGACATTTAATCAACTACCAAGCTTGCAAATTCTGTGTTTTGTCTGTTTATTTGTTTGTTTTTGTTAAAAATGTAATACAAATGTCTGGTTGCTGATGACATGATAAATAAATAGCTTGATGCCTTTCCTTGATGCAGTGGCTACTGGTGGGACTTCTCTGGGTTTTAGTCTGAACTTTGACAGAATTATTTTTATGTGGGAGGTTAGGGTTGTAAACCCATAAAATTCTGAATAGAACCTGGAAGGCACCCACTCCCTGCCTGATATCAAGGCAACTGATTACCAAGGCCTGGCTGCATTGTAGGTTAATTTTCTTTATCTTTCCTGTTATTGAGATAGATGCACAATGTCATCCCATTTCATCTTTTGCTAGCAAATGAAACATTCATGCAAATGTAAGTAGAAAAACAAAGCCGTGCCTCCTGCAGAGCCAAAGTGTGGAGGGTACGCAATATGCTGTTGAAGAGAAAATTTAGAAAAGAGGGATTGGGTTCATCAGAGAAATAATGGCCCTTTCTTTTGATGAGGGACGTAGTTGGGTTTGGGGAGAAATGATGGGCCGAGGCCAACTAGGCAATTAAATTGATTGCCGGACTGTGTTGCCAACTTGCTCTTTTTTTAACCACTTGCTGAGCTTAAAGAGCTACAGGGTGCAAACCTGTTGCAGTATTTGAAGCTCTCACTGTTTGCACAATAACAAATCACAGTTTAGCAGCTGACAAAGGGGCAGGAGCATGATGAGGAAATGAGTAGGTGACATCCTAAGAAAATGTTGACCATTTCTACCTTGGCAGCCACCACTCCACAAAAGTCAACATTGACACTGAAATTCAACACCGCCTGAGCTCTGCGAGTGCAGCCTTTTCCCGAATGAAACAGAGAGTGTTCGAGGACCGGGACATCCATATGGATACCAATGGGGGACAATGCCTGGCTCGAGAGCAGTACATGTGAAAAAGATCTTGGAGTCCTCGTGGACAACAAGTTAAACATAAGCCAACATTGTGATGTGGCGGCAAAAAAAGCCAATGGGATTTTGGCCTGCATCAATAGGAGCATAGTGTCTAGATCTAGGGAAGTAATGCTACCCCTCTATTCCGCTTTGGTTAGACCACACCTGGAATATTGTGTCCAATTCTGGGCACCACAATTCAGAGAGATATTGACAAGCTGGAATGTGTCCAGAGGAGGGCGACTAAAATGATCAAGGGTCTGGAGAACAAGCCCTATGAGGAGTGGCTTAAGGAGCTGGGCATGTTTAGCCTGAAGAAGAGAAGGCTGAGAGGAGATATGATAGCCATGTATAAATATGTGAGAGGAAGCCACAGGGAGGAGGGAGCAAGCTTGTTTTCTGCTTCCTTGGAGACTAGGACTCGGAACAATGGCTTCAAACTACAAGAGAGGAGATTCCATCTGAACACGAGGAAGAACTTCCTGACTGTGAGAGCCGTTCGGCAGTGGAA